GGTCCAGCTGGGAGTTTGCCCACCCTGCAGCACCGCAAAACCCCTCAATATGGAGGCCAATTACTGCTGCCCGTGTGACCGTGGCATGGCAGCATCAGAGACGCAACCCTCCTCCTCGCCTCTCCTTTCCCTCTTCCTCTGCCCCCCTCCTCCCCTTCTCATTTCCTCACACTCCCCCAAAAAATAAATAAAAAACACTCCCACCATCTGTGCAGAGTGACAACAACCTCTATAGCCTACCATGCACAACACAGACTGTACACTGCACACACAGACACACACACACAGGCACTTGGGGCAAACACACACATCAAACATGACAAATCCTCACTGATGGGCTCTGTGTGCTTTCATACTCACCATCAAGTGTGTGAGTGGTTGGGTATCAGTGTGTTTGAGTTGTGTGTGCATCTTTTTTTTCGAGGTCTGATACTTTTACACTTGCATTTTAAAAAGAAAAATAATAAATGTAATAATCCTGCAACACACAAAGACAGTCAGCCATGCACATGGGTATCCATGCTGTACCCAGTCACACAGACTTGCACACAACACTATTGTTCTGCAGATGCAGTGGAATTTCACCCCATGCCAGCTTCATCTCTTTTCACAGAGCTGGGCGTGGCGCTCAGGCTGGCAGGGTGGTAATGGTGGGAGGGGGCACGGTGGCTAAATATGATGCAGTGCCCACTGCAGTGGAGGTGAGTGCAGAATTTAGCCAGGAATAAAAAGATCAAGGATGAAAAATTAAAAGACACATTTTTTTTTGTTCTTGTGCCTTCTCTTCAACTGTTGGGGAGTAAGTGACAAAACATGTTGCATATTATATAGAGCTCTCTCTCTATGTGTCACACACACACACACACACACACACACACACACACACACACACACACACACACACACACACACACACACACACACTGGGCCCCACAGAAGCTCTCCAGTGAGTGATCCTGGTGCTGCATTGGGGACTTTGTCACTCTTCTTTTAATAGCACTAAGTTATTTTAAGCCTGATTTATTTGTGCCTTCCGCCTGTTTCTCTCTCTCTCTCCTCTAACGCACAAACACTCTATGCTATGACACTGATTAGTCCCATTAAACCATTAAATACATTTTCGAGATTAATCCCAATACAATTAATCCGGTAAATGTTTACCTAATCTGATAAATGGGAGTAAAGCGGTCCAGATGGAGATCTGTGTCCCGTAAGCCTGGGACTACCTTGTGACCTGTTTGCAGTGTCGCGAGTGTTGTGTGGTGTCCGGCGACTTTAGCGAATCGCCAAATTGGAGCTCTGAGCTGGATTATTTAATTACAGTAATTGCACGGTATTTTATAAACACTCATTTGAACAATTACGCCTAAACGCGATACCAGAGAAATTATGTTTTTTGGTCATTAGTAATGTCACTTAACCCGATTTGTCATAGATTTGTCCAGAAATAGCACGTGTAGCTACGATAATGTAAGATGTAAAATATATTTTATTAAGATCTGGCAAATCTGACTTGAAACCCGTAATGATAAATAATTAATCGGGTAATTGCTTTAGACCGAGGCCCATAGTCGTATGGGTGTCAGTGGAACACTGTTCAAGGGCTAATTTGACATTTATAATGATTATAATAATGATATTATTATTATTTGTTTTTATTTTCTGAATGCCCCTGGACCCACAGGTGAGTTTAAAGGGTTAAAAGTCATGCACTATTTAAAGGAATGCTGCAGGAGGGACTAACGGGAGATGAAACGGACACCTCTTTAACCCAGTTCAGTGTCCGACTAGTTTCACGCTCGGTCTCTCTGCAGTCTCCTTCAAAAGTGCACGACCGGGGGAAAAGGGTCCCTTTCTGCGCGGGGCACTCAGCCTCCTTTAACGGCGGAGAATAATGAACAGATGCTGAGTGAATTAGGAAAGAAATACTGGGTCCCTCCCACAAGGGCCACTTTGGCAGGGGCCGCCTGGCTGCCACGTGGCGCAGCTGGCACCCGGGTTGGTGATGGTGGGCTCTAGTAGTCTCTGGCTTTACTGGTGCTCAGACATTTAGCGACTTGGCACTGAGCTCAGCCATCAAATCCACTGCCAACCGACACCCTCCTCGCTAAAAGAAGTCCACCACCGAACTGTCAGGTTACAGCGGAAAATAAAGTAAAAAATGCACCCTCTCACCTTGCCCTCTGAGACCTGCCCTTCACCCGGGAAGAATAGTGGTCAACTGGTGAGAGGGGATGCCGGAAATATCAGGTGGTGATCACTTTCCCCCCCCCCCAAGATTGTTTTATGCAACCTAATTTTATCTAATGCAAAACATTAAAAATATACGTCCGTGTGGCCACACTCGCTTTCAGGCATGCAGCCACTTGTAGGATACAAGCGTTAAAGGGACATAGAGGTTTCCTTTTCTTTCTAATGCTGGCTAATTAATATATAATCTAAGAGTTTCCCAAATTAAGAAGCTTTTCGTTACTTGAATTAATCAAAATTGTTTTCTGGAAATTGTTTTTGCGGTTTTTTTACGCACTCGTGGGCAGCACCACATAATAAATATTAAACGCCGGATGCAAAAGAAAAGATGCAAACCCCAAATTACGATTTTTTAAAATCACTTTGATATCAAATATTTCTTAGCGTGCAAATGCTTTTAACCATGTTTAGGTTAAGTTAGTTTATAGTTGAGTGCACGCATAATACAAAACTGCGCGATTTTCCCTTCAAAAGTAGAAATAAATAAATGAATAAATACAATTTTGTTTAAGGGTTAGATCCGTTTAGTAAACATTAAAGTAAAATAAATTACAATAAATTAACCATTTAAATTCCTAAAAGACATCAAGCTCGTCATCTGAGAACTTTCTCCGACCAAAAATGGCCTTTTAACCCATGTTTGCTTGTCTGCCCTTCCACGATCACCAAAACTGCGGCCCTGCCAAAACCTTTCAAAACTGTGCATTCTCTGTATTTATACAGGATATATGTTACTACTATGTATCATTTATGTTGGTGGTTTAGACTTTACGCGTGCAGGTGTGTGTGCATGTCTATTCTGGCACGGACTTGATCTTCAGGGGAACGGGCCACTGACTCACCTGATTTTGCACCTGCACATCTCTTTCACCGTTTTAGGACGTCAGATGGGCTTTTTTTTATGGTAAAATGTAATTAAATTAAAATGCAAAAATAAAATTCTTACAGCACCGAATCGATGTTTTTGCAGTGCAAATCTTTTTTTACGTACATTTTTGCTGACATTTTTTTCTTTTTTGCTTGTGTTAGTGCTTGGATGGGACCGTTTCCACCCTGCGGTGCCCGGTACTGATTTCCCCTGGATGTCCAGAGCAACATATGGGACCCAGGGCACTGGTCCAAAGATGGTGGCTGCTTTCTCCAGTGATATGAGAAATCACCAAAAATACGATCTCGACCACACATGATTAAACTGTGAACTATTCGCTCAAACGTGGTTTAAAGCGAGCATTAAAAACTTTACCAATAACTTATTTGTGGTCAGTGTTAATATTAATATTATTGTTTTGCATTAAGTAAGTGTTGTGAATCTTTAATGAGGTCATTCTATTATTTAAGCTGTTGGACAAATACACTCACCTGAGAATCAAACCACGGTGGCGTGACAGGGCCCAGATCCATGCGCGGTGTGCTGGAAAAGAGAATCGCTAATCTGAATGCCAGGCGCTCAGTTTCTGCAGACCACTTGTTCTTCCTCCTACGCTCTGCATTCAGGGGCCTTTAAACTATACCCATCTTGAACGGATCCCTTGCATTCCATTGTTGAGAATTTAAAACCGTGGAGTTAAAAAAAAAAAGAAGAAGAAGGAGGAAAAAACGCAACCCACAAAATAAAAAGATGGAAGCCAAAAAAGACGTGGCACGATTTTATCGCTAAACACTTGAGGGTTTCCTTAAGGTTGCCGTGTGAACTGCTAAAAATAAAATAAAATAAAATGTGTTTAAAAAGCAACACATCTCAAGTATATTATCCGCATATTTGATTTGGCAACGACGTCTTTTCCTAGCGCAACTCTCCCCGTTTTCTGGGCTTGAGAGCCGCACTAGGATTACACTGGCTTGTGCCCCCCCTCCCCTGTGGCTGGGTTACATATCGCCTCAAAGAATTGGCCTCAGATTTAGCATTACATACTTGCCATTTAGCAGGGTACATCACTCCTTATGGATGATAATTCTGTTCCAGGCCTCTTCAAAGTTCAAGGATGCATCCTGCTAGGAAGGCAGGAGAATGTGCCTTTAATGAGTGCACATTATGGCACAGTGAAATACAGCCCAATTTATTCTTGTTTCTTTTTCTTTTTACTCAAAGTGCTGTTTCAGTTTGTGTAACAGGTTTGTTTGATTTCTATACCTGTTTATCGTAGCCTTTACTTTACAGTGCGCATGCGTAGAGGCTGTTACAAGTGGTTGTTAACCTAATTAACCCACGCCTTCAGCAGTCCAGATTTTCTAACTATCAGCTGTGTTCAAAATGTTTTTGTTCGTTGGATATTTTGGGACCTAAAAGCCAGGGTCACAGGCTTCACTCCAAAATTTAATGATTTTCCTTTCTGCGTTTGATTCTAATAAGCTGTTGTCTAGCAACGTACATAAATTCTTAATTTATAAAGCAGAGATCAACTACACATTGGCATTGAGCTGAGATAAAAGGCTTTTAGCCTGCTGCTCTAATCTGTCTACTGTAAATCTTTCACTGCCCTGAGAGCGAGTGAGCTGTAGGACCTGTGTATTCTGCGAAAAGCGACTTTAATGTGTTGTTTACAGCCAGAATGTGTTTAGTCACGACTGCTGACCACAGGGAAAATTTGCACCTAGTTATATTAAAAAATATTACTGAGTTACAACCGTTAAGTGCTATTTTTATTTTTATTTTTTATTTTCAAGGAACCTTTTTTATGAATTATTTTCATGATATATTGCAGTAACTGAATGAAAGCTCCCCTAGTAAAGAAAGAAGATTTGTTCGCTCATTTCAGACGATTAGAAAACACTTTTTTATTTTAAGTCGTTTGAGTCATAACATGTTTCATGTTGGCCTATACATTGTTTATGTCAGTTGCACTCATTCTGCATACAGGATAATACTGGACACACTTTGATATGATGTACAACAGTATAGGGATGACATCAGTAGAATACAGAAGATAATCAAAAGACTCTTTCTGCCACCTCCATCACCTCCCTTTAGAGACTCTTCTTGTTTCCCAAACAATATTAAACATTATAGGATTGTCATTAGAATGTCAATAAGCCTGATTGGACCGTAGTATGGAATCAATTGTGGAAAAAGGCATTGAGATCCTCGTATGGGGGCGCCCTGTCGTGGTGCAAGTGTACGTCGTGGAATGGTGGAATGTTTTCTGAGTGCGCACCACCACTGCGCGTACCCGAAGGCCCAAAGGGTATGCTGTGGCTGGGTCGAGAAGTGGTCAGTCCAGAGTAGTGCACAGAGTAATGATAGTTCCTGTCAGTCTCAGAGGACTCCTGCTGCCTCCCGGAGAGTCCGCCGTTCAGGCACACGGGAGGGCTGTGCTGGCCTTCGTAGTCCGGGCTGCTGTAGTCAGGGGACGTGCCTCCAGGCGGGTACACGGCCTCGTATCCAGAGCCGTAGGAGTGGCTTCGCAAGTTGAGAGCACCGGTTCCGGGCTGGTAATGAGGGCTGGAGAGGCGCGAACACCGGTACGAGTAGGGATGGACCGAGAAAGGAGAACTCGGCATGTGGAATCGGGCTCCGTCTGAACACTGTTCAGTTAGGAAGTTCCTGGTGTTGAGCTGCAGGCAGCCTGCCACCAGATTGGTGGTGGGCTGGGACAGGCCTTTGCACAACATCTGCACGTAGGTCACCACATCTGGACGCTTTCCGTTGCGTAAAATCTCCCCGAGGGCTAATATGTAATTCTTGGCCAGCCTCAGAGTCTCGATCTTGGAGAGTTTTTGGGTTTTTGAATAGCAGGGCACCACCTTGCGCAGGTTGTCCAGCGCGGAATTCAAGTCGTGCATGCGCATGCGCTCCCGCGCGTTTGCCTTTACCCGACGCATCTTGGAGCGCTCCACGCGAGCCGCCGTCATCTTACGTTTCTTTGGGCCGCGCTTCTTGGGTTTGTCCCCGCTGTTCTCATCCCCACACTCCTCTTCCTCGGCCTCCTCGTCCTCATCATCGTCGCCGGCCATCTCAGACTCAGCTCGACTGCTGCCTTCCAGTGGCTCGTCCAGCTCGTCCTCCTCGAGGTGGCAGGGCTCGTGGTCATCTTCCTTGGCTTTGGAGTCCTCGACCTCATTGTCCTCCACCCAGTCGGCTGCGAGCCTCTGGACGTCTGGCAGCACCTCGCTGAACAGACGGCTCAACATTGTGGCATGCAACCTGCAAGACAGACAAACAGCGCTTCAGCCTGGCTGTTGGGCGCCCTGCTTTTTACGCACCAACAAGCACGCATTGCAAAAAATCTCCGGTGAGCCCTCATAGGGTCGTAGCTTATAGACGTCCCCAATCTTAAGAAAGAAACAAAAAAAAAAAACAGTTATTATTCGCTAATTATTTTATAAGCAGTGAGAGTGCCCTGTGGCTTATATCACCGAGGTTTGCGTTGAACGTCAAGGCTTCTTCAGACTGAAATCCACCAAGCAGGGTATCCCAGCTGTTCCACAGTGGGTTACATCTTTGTTTGAAAAAGAGACAACCTAGAGCTATGACAGTTTGTAAAATTATCCCATCACCTAGGGTTCAAAATTCTACAAGACAGGTTATCTATATGCCATGAAATATTGTTCAATTGCTAAACAAAAAAAACTGTCATCTTTTGTGTAAAAAAAATAAATGCATACATTTAATATTTATTTCAATTTGAATCAATTTAGTTTCACATTGTGCTTAACCAAATTGGCCGTATAAAATTGCTCGTCACGAAAACTTAATGTTTCCACCTTTTTAAAAAAAATTATAGCAAAAACATATTTATGGGAGATTCTCTTAATAAAAACTTTATAATTTAGTACTATCTTTTTTTAAAGAAAATCAGATGCATTTGGTTTATTCTTCAGGCAAGTAACCGTGTAGGCCACTGTTCGGCCTCAGCATGTGCTTCGATCTGTTCCCTCCAGCAGCACGGCGCAGACTGGCCTGCTTCTGCTGAATCCCCAAGGGGCTCACTGGGGTGCGGGTCCCTCCTCTGTCCAATAAATTACCAAGTTGGAGGAATTCCATTACACACAGGCCGCACACAGGACCAAGGGAGCAAACAGATTTTTGTTAAAAATTACATTTTTAAAATACACCTTTTTCTATTTTTTTTATCTTAATCGTGAAAAAAAAATTTGATATATGCTTTTAACTTATAACATCCAGATAGTGTAAAAATGAAATGCACCAGAACCTCAGTAAACTCTCTGCGGGTTCATGAACCCTGTTTGGCACACCTTCGCAGATCACGCAGGCTACAGATAAATCCTCATCTGAGGACTTTAGTTTGTCTGGACTTAATAAATAAATAAATCATAGATTTGTGAGCGAAAATTAGAGTATGTTTTCATACTGACCTTGACTGTTTGTTTTTGTTAAATAATTCTATCAATACCTTTCTTTTCCGTCAGAGATTCCAGCCCGATCAAAGCTTTTTTTAAGTTACACAAATCTAGCTTTTAATTAAATTTCTCCTCATAATTTTTTTTTTCTGAAACCAACTTAGTCAAAATGTAAATCCTCTCCGAATTCATGTCACCACATTCACCGACGACACGGGTTAAATAGACAAGTTCTGTGCTAAAATTAAATGTAAAGATATTATAAAAGCTGCCACATCCACAGATCTCCTCAGGTTCTCACTACCCTGAGCTCAGCTGTGCGTTTGGTGTCCAAGGGCGTATTTTTTATCTAATCTTGTAAGCACAATGTAATTAATGCCTACCAATACCTTGTCAATTAGCCTATGTATCTCTGTGGAGAATACTACCCCCACAGTGCTCTGACGTGAATCATGCAAGAGCACACACAAACACACACACACACACACACACACACGCACACACACACACACACACACACATGCTGTTCATTTTCTAAGACAATAAAATGCAAATTATGAATGCCAAAAGTGACAAGTAGAACCTATCTCTTGAGGGTCAGTGTGGATTTATTTAAACGAAATCTATGAAACACAGAATGATCGATGTCCTCCGATAATAAAAACATTAATATATATATATATATATATAACAAAAATGAAAAAGCCTTAAAAAAAGATTACAAGCCCAATCTGATCATATCGTTTGCGATACAATGATCAAAAAGAGCCAGGAAAACTGCACCCTTCTTCCAAAACAGGTTTAAAGCATTACATTATCTCAATCTGGCATCGAAACCCAAATTACCCTCCCCTAACCGTGGCTGTAAGAGACATCAGCACAAAGACAAAAACAAATCTGGATCATTATCTGATAGTCTACTGACTAGAATTGTGCAACCTACCTCCGTGGTGGAGCTCAGTGACGGGGCAAAGCGGGTTTGTTTACACCATCTCTCTCCGGGTGGGCATCACATCCACACGCCCTGCACGGATGCTTGTGCGAGCGAGGCGCTGCGTTCTGCTCTCACACCTCTCTCTCCTCTCCTGCCACCCTGCTCTGTCTGCTGCTGCTATCCTCAGCCCAAACGCGAGGAGGGAGCCGTGTGGCACCTCAGAGGCAGGACTGGGTGGGTTACATACCAGCTCTGATGCCAGGCCCATATGGCTGGCACGTCATTGGCAAGAGCCATCACATGAGAGCCGGTGATTGACATGCGGCCGCATTCACAGAGACTGGCTTCCCCTGGGGGAGAGGGACTCGCCATCTGTCACTGAGCTGAAAGAGAAAATGGAATAAGGAGAGGATGGCACAAAAAAAAGAAACGTAGGATTCAGGCTGCTTCTCTTAACCTCCATCTTTGGGGAAAATTGGGTTAATCTCGTATAGAAGATGTAGGAAAATCCCCATATAGCATTAATTGTAATATACATGTAATAGCATTCATATAGTTGGCTACGCCACAACAAATATCCCCAGCGCGGAGATCTAAAATGAGCTGTGTAGGATAAGAAAATCATGATGATGGAAATCATCCACATATGGGAACATTTTGGAAGTATTTCAGTGAAACAGTATTAGTGGCCCAAAAAAACAAACAGCAACTGAACTCATCCCCGATTCCATCAACAGAAACTTGAGCAAACCAGCGTGCCCACACCCCACACAAAGGTCTGGGATGAGTAAGTTGCCGTTCATACAGATCAGAGTCAGAGTGCAATTGCCTAAACGAATCAGTTGAACTGAGCTTAGCAAGGCGTCTTGGTTTGGGTTGCCAGGACTGGCACAGGTGCCAGCGGCCGGACTGACGCCAAAGGTGGCGAAGGCACAGATTGCAGAGAGGGGCCAGAAGATGGGGCAAGGCAAGAGGTAGAGAGAAGCAACTAAGAACGAAAGGCGGGGTGGGTGGTGGGGAGGCTTATCAGCATCATCATCATCATCATGCTATTGAGCCTCACTCGACTGACCGCTGTGTAATTTGTGCATTCTCAGTGGAAAAACCAAAGTGCCTGACAGACAAGTATTTTTATTTTTTATTGTTTCACACATTTAAATCTCTGATAAAAGTCATACACGGGCACAAATGTGAATGGAGGTTAATGAGAGATATTATGTGTCATTTTCAGGAGTCCTTTAGGTTAATAACAAAAGCTCAAACCCAATAAGAAGAATTTCATGCTATTTTTCTTTCACTATTAAATGCCAAACATACACTTACATCAAATGGACATTTAAATAATGAAGACACGTCATGCATATCATCATATCATTACATTATCCTACAGGCAAAAGGAGAGTTCGAGATTCTCGGTTTTAGGAGTCACCAAAGGCGTCATGTCACAGCTCAGATTAAAAGTACGAACTAAATGAACAAATAAATGCATTTTCCCCTCCGCTATGATTGAAAAGGTTTAAAACCTGGAGAAGAGTATTGTATAGTTTTGTTTATTCTATATCTGCCTTGAGTTATTATATTTAAAGAGGAAAATGAAGAGATTAGGAGAAGCTTTAAAGTTAATTTGGCCTCATATGTCCTGAACTGCCAAGCCTTTGGTTCTATCAATCTTATAAACATCTATATTTTACGGCTCGGTTCACATATCACTGAAATTCTCAGTGACTACTCTTTCCACAGTTATGTATGGGTGACACCTGCTGGTAATAGAAAGCAAATACACGACGTCCTCGGTAAAATATAATAAAATTACGCATTTTCAGCTTTTCCAAAAGAGGATGGAACGACGTTTTTAATTTAGAGTGCGTTGTAAATAAACACAGCCAAATAATTACCTTCTTCAGCAGAAGTAAATCTGTGGATATTTGCATCATGTTTTATTGCTTTGAGGTTTTGTGAAATATATTGAAATATTCATATTTTTAAATATTGCAAATAAATATTCTTGTTATTTCAATACTTTGAACTATAAATGTAAAAATTTAAATATTGCTCTGTGCAAACGTCAGTCATAAGAAATTAGAAATGGCTGCTTTTTCTTAGCAGTTGTCGCCACCTTCTTGTGGTTTCAGTAACTACACAGTGCCACACAGGAACGCTCACATATATGATCTGTTGTGGATTCTACTTTACATTTATAATAACACAATAATCTTATAAATATTTCACCTTCAGCTCTGCTCATTTTTGTGCTGTGTCGTGAGTTTGGACTATCATATATTTACTTGCATTCAAACCTCCCCTCAGTGAAGTGATTTCTTTACTTTTGGCCATAAGATGGTGCTGACTAGTCATCCCAGTGTTGCTTGGTGTCACGTGTTGTTGAAAGTGCTCGCAAACATACATTATGTTTTCAAGGACGACAGACGAACTGAAACGGAGCTGAGCCACAGATGGGCTCTTTTAAAATGTCCAAGGTGGCGAGCTCTTTTATCTGCAGACCTCGCCCAGCAGGCCTGAGTTTGCTGTCATTAGCAACTCTTCCTGAAGCTGGCAGATGTCCAGAGCTTTTCTCAAGTCCAGTACTTCAGTAGAGGGTGAACCCTTGGGCTTGTGGCAAGTGGGATCAAGCATGGGGCCCTCTGCTTACAGGGGCATCTGGCTCGTTTTCCAATATACACCACAAGGAGAAAGCCTTTAGAAAAGTTTTTATTTTTCAATCTTCTTTTGGTTATATTTAGTCACCCAATGTATCCTGTTGTTTGACTTTTAGAAAAACATAATGATTTGGGTGAAAGTTTACCTTTTTCCACTTCTTTACGAATTGCATGACACATGAAAAATAGGACACTTCCGCCTGAAACAGCCTACATGCTCGGGGGGATCCCACGTACAAATAAATGACAGTTCGTGACAGCTTGGCCGCTGATTGTGTTGCGCGCTGACAAATGCATTTGTCCTCTCTTGCCCTGCCTCTCCTCGAACTTATGCCGAAGCACACACTCCAACACACTTCCTGCACTGCCAGCTCTCTAAGAAGAAAAGCTGTTGTCATGGCAACTGAGTGCCTCGCAGATATTCGCTGTGCATATGGTAAAGCCAAGGTGGGCACCGGCGAAAGCAGAGGTTAATACTTTTGCCTCTGGAAGGGGGAAGCGATTAGATCTTTATTTATTTATATTTCCAGTTTGTTGATCGTCCTCAAAGTGAGCACGCAAATTTGCACTCAACGTCAGTGCAATAAAATACGACCTTAAGTGCCTACCTAAAATTAATTACTTCGTTAATTAATTAAAATTAAAAAATCTATTTCTTCCCAACCAGGATTCGGCACATTTTTGCTAAGATAGCAGTGAGTGGCATCTTCTTAATATCTTAAAATTCGTTTCTTTTAGTTCACTATGACTCGATGCTGACTTTAGTTGTTTATCAGTTTGTGAAATTCTTTGAAGTTGTGCAACTTCCTCGCTTTTTTTTTTTCAATTTCCCCTTCATTCGGGTAGATTTCTTTATCGGGCAACTTTAAAATGCAAATGCGCAAAGTTTCCGGCTCCAGTAAAGGCAACAAAACCTTCACTGCTCTTCTTTCCTCCTCACGCATTAAGGTCAGCGGACAAAGTGTGAGAGGAAGGGGAGGGGAGACTGGCGGGGAGGCGGGGAAGAGGAGCTGATCGCTGCTGTTAAACGGAACTCCAGAGACCAGAGGATCGCCGGGACAGAGAGAGATGCCGCTGTTTACTCACTGACTTTTGTCAAGTATAAGCACTTTACTGCAGTTTTTCCACAGGCGGTTCCACTGAAGCTGACCTCGTCTGGACTTTAGGTTTGTGCGCTCGGCTGCGGAGGTGACAGGCGGGACTCGTTGCTGCTGCTGCTGCTGCTGCTGCTGTTCCCCGCAGAGACGGAGGTGATGGACCGAGAGGCAGACGCGGATGCGAGGAGGAAGATCCAATTTTCCGTGCCTTCCTCCGTGCCCACCCAGCTGGACCCGCGACAGGTGGAGATGGTGAGATCTGAGGGAGTGTGGCTGTAGCCTACACGGATGATGACAGTGGTTGTGGAGATGAGTGAGTGTGTGGAAGGATTGTTAAGCTCAGGCTGGGTAACTGCATCTGTACATTTTAAAAGTAAATATCTAAGACGTGCTCGCCTGCAGTTCCATCATTAATGATTCTACAGGGGCATCAGTGCTTAACACGGAGGCTGACAGACTGCTCTAGCAAGACTTTGCAAAACTGTGTTTTGATGTTTGTATGTTACTCTGTGGGCAGCAGGGTATGGACAGTGCTGGAATTAAGCAGAGCTCTGCAGCTACAGATTTTTTTTGGAGTCCTTAAAGTTGATGAGATTTCTTTGCCCTTCTATCCGAATGGAGGAGGAAGAGGAGGAGGAGGAGGAGGTGAGGGATAAAGGACCATTTGTGGCATTAAAAATTAGTTGCGCCAGAGTAATAAATCCTTTACCACACACAAGAAGCAAAATGTAGAAGGTATTACTCATACGCTCGTGGAGGTGGTGAGCATATTATGTAAAGTCAGATCCGTTATCTGTTGCTTATGCTGAATCATCCCAAAGCGAGCGCTGGTCAATGCAAACAGTGCAGAGCAGGGTGAAGAGGGAAGGTATTATGCTGTACAGTATGAGCAGAGATGTTCATATGTTATTGGTGGTGTTAAAGACAAGAGCCCATAAAGGTCACAAAGTTGCCAATGAGGTAATATTTGGACACAAAAAGCAGCAAATGACAGGCTTATCCATTCCTTGTGCAGGAGATGTTCATTTCTTCAGTCGCTCCCTTAAGGGAAGTTTCACTGGAGACCAGGTGCAGAGTAAGAAATGTTCTTTTTTTTCCAAGTAGGAGATTTGAAAAATTTCAAATGGCATCTGTTTGGAAAGCTTGTTTCAGCCTAATAAATCAATAAGTTCTGGGCAGATATTTTCTGCTGCATCTGCTGTTTACAGCCCACTCTTGGTCTCTGGGTTTTCTGTTTGCTTGATTCATACCCTGTCCAGTACAGAAGGGATCATTTATTTGCTTTTCTAAGCAAGCCCATGCACAATGATGGCACAATTCTGAGTGATATTTTAATTTAAATACAGTCTGATGCTAATCAGTTGCTATACTCTACCTGATAGACTTGTTCACTTCTTCACTCGTTTTGTCTATAAGATGCTCTGGCAGTTTTATCAGCTCAGATCTTAGTAAGATTATGGCAATCTTCCTCCACTGATTAAATAAGACTGCAAGAAGCCAGAGACATTATATATCAGGAGGACCCTGAAGAAGCACATTTCCTTCAAAGTAGGAGTAAGGTTACAGGGCTTCATTTTCTGTGTTTCTGAAGCC